TTTTTTTTTTTTGGTTATTTTTGGGGGGGGGGGGGGGGGGGGGCAGGGGGGGCGTAACAAAGAATTATATCCTCCCGCCGACAGGACACAAGCTTCCATCATTCTAGAATTCGCCAACCGTTGAGGTCATAGAAAGGCATACACAGACCCCGCACCTTGAAGTAGAAGTTGAAGGCGTTGTCCGAGTTGTACCACCCCTCAGCTGTAGCCGAGATGGCGTCCGTCGCGTTATCGTCGCTTGAGTCGTCGTCCTGTACAGCCGTAAGAGTATGGTTTCGTGTCGCCGATGGAATATGAAAAAAAACGTTCACGGAAGCCGTAACTGCATTACCGACTACCTTCAACAACTGGCGGTTTCGGAACTCATATAAAATACTACTGGTACACTTTGCGAAATAAAAATAACACCACAACAACCTACTTGCTGCACGTAGGGTTAGGGTTAGGGTTAGATAATACGTGACATAAGATACCACGCCCGTGTGATAACAAATCATCTTGCATCAAGAAAATATCAGAAGGGTGTGGTATTGTGTTGTAGAGGGTGTGATATCTTGTGTGACCCGTGCGAGAAAACCGCACTCGCAGGGCCCGACGTAAGGTGCAGGGGGTGTGACAACAAAGTGGTGTAACCAAGATGGGGTGTGACAGCGTCATCCCTCTCACACGACCCAAACTGCAGCGGGTGTAGTGCGGGCCGCAGTAGAGTACGTGCACTACGTACGTATGTATCATGCACGGTTGCTGACGGGAGTATCAGGGGACACACTTTTCCCAGCGGCGGGTTGCGGCTAATGTACAGAAAAACGTGTCATTGGGCGTGGTGCCGCCGCTGCTGGAGTCTGGCTCACTGCAGTCTGACGCCGCGATGCTTTAAAATACTGACTCGGGAATACATGTCGCTTGTTGCCTGCCCTGTCTTTTCATCAATTGAGACATCATTGCTTGGTGTATTGTGGCACTGGACGCGTACGTGGTCGTGGTGAGGCCGCGAGAGCTTTCATGCAAATAACGTCGAGATCTTCTGGCTGTTCCCTAGTGTTTTGTTGGATATGCAACGAACACTTTGGTTGACGTGCGTGATGCTCGGAGAATGTGCGTTATGCTTGGAGAATGTGCCGCGCACGTCAGTGAAGTGACCACACGCGTGAGAAACACTGCTAAACAAAGCAAAACAAACACAGCGCATCATCGCGTACCGTGGTCTGGCTTCCAACAACAAACAACAGACAGGCAAGAAGTCACTCACCGGCTTGGTGAAGGTCATGTAGCCCCAGCAGATGAGGTTGCGCTGAGCCGCCGATATCCAAGCCTCGATTCCCCTGACCATGTTGTCGATGAACTCGTCCTCCACGCCTTCCAAGTTGCCGCGCCGCGACACCAACACGTCCCGGACCTACAGTATTACACGAGAACAACAATATGTTGAGCACTTTCTTTTTACCGTGTCATATCGTGTTGCTGGAGAGGGAGGAGGTTGCGCGTGCGTGTACAGAAATAAGACTTGTAGTTAGTTAGCTCAAACAGAGGTTGACTCGACTTGCGCTAAGGTAAGGTACGGGCAGAAGAGGACGGAATTCTGCGTTTGAAGTGGGAGGAAGAGGAAGAGAGGGGAGGGAGAAATGATCCTTCGAACGGGACAGGCAACACCCAAGTCAAACGAAACGGTTGGAAGGGAGAGCAAGGCGTAGCGGTGCTTGACGAGAAATCGATGCTACACTACGCCATTACCGTTTCACAGGACAACACATGCACAGGAACACGTTCGTACGTTGAGGTTATCCATTCTCCTCGGCCGGTGCGTTCTACAGCAGTACATGCAATCCATCTATACCTGGTATGTGCTAACGACCAGATAACGTACCCACAATAGGGTTCGGAAGCCGAAAGCAAACCATTAACTTGGTCAGCTTACGCCGAAATCAAACCATTAGACTGGTCAATGCCGACTATACTACTGTATCCAATGGAGCAATTTCGGCTTCTAAAGCTTGCACGTGCAATGCTACGTCCGTTGAGCTTAAACACCCCCCAAAGGGACCCGAAAGAAAAACGGGTACAATCGTACATCGTACTGCTGTATCTACCGGACGATGACTCATAGTAATAGCTCACACTTCCGTAGTGCGTGGCGAGGTTCTCGGCCATGTCGACGAACTCCACGAACTCGAGCCCGTGGACCTTGCCCCACTTGATGTACTCCTCGGGGGTGGACATGTCCTCCAGGTGGCACCGGTTGTACACCTGCGGATGATGATGGACGCGAAGCATGGCTAAATAAAATCACCGAGTGCCTCCTCTTCCTTGTTTTCGACTTTTACCAGCAAACCCCTAAACCAATGTCCCAAGTCCAGTCGTGTTTGTGCGCACAAGCCTGTCCCGGAGGGAAAAAACAAATCTCTCGCTCACCGGTAGAATGTGAAGCTAAGCTAAGCTAAGCTAAGCGTGATCATATCTTCCGTCTCGTCGTATTTAAACTAAACTCCGTTCAGAAGATACGAAATACCTGCGAGACTTTCGCTTCGCCCACAAAGAACTTGACATGTTCCGCCTGATTCAGACGCGGGATGAGCCAATACGTACAGCAGTACAGCAACGCTTTGTGTGGCGCTTTTCGATTGCCTTGACTTACGCCACGCACCGCACCACCCGCATTCTGCCTCTGTGGATTGCCTCCCCGCCCCCCAGGCCGCATCCCCCCGCCCGTGTTTGCCATCGGGGTTGGGTTTTCGTCGCTTGGCAACGACGTCGTCAATCAAGCGGCCTCGAGGCAGTTACACAGTGCTTATAGCTGTCTCTGGAAGTGAAAGCACCAGAAAATAAATCAAGTCATACGCAGCTGTCATCCGTACGCAAGCAAGTAAGCATAAGATGACGAACACCCTTAGCAAGATGCAGCGCACCCTTCATGCGACTCGCCGAATACCTCACGGCGCTTCGCGCTTGGTGATGTGAGAGCCTGGTCCGGTGAGAACCCGGCATGCTCCGTCCCAGCC